AGTAACCACAGACAATATTAATTACCCTTTGTATTCTAATATGGTTACGAACTCTTTAGGTCTATGCAATATGAGCCAGTTGCCTCAAGGATTTGGGATGCAGTATAAGTTCCAAGCAGCGAAAACGATGTCATGAAATAAATTCCACTGAACTGACTCTGACATTACAAAAAAGTATAGTACAACTTTCACGTCATTACCTAAAGAGTTTATTCGACCAATTTTCATTCTCAAACACGAGGATAATTTAGGTTCTCTTGAAAATTATAGAACAATCCGCTCTTCAACACGACGGGGTGTAGGTGGAGAGAGGAGCTGAAACAATGTTAAAACTTCAGATGATGCTCAAACAAGGATGCCATCTCAATCTGCAAAACAACCCCAGAAATAAACTAACTATATTAGGATCACACTTCTAAGTGAAGAAATGAACACAACAAATTCAAGCATAAAATTTCAGGGTCGTCAAAGTGGTTATCTATTGTTGGAATCTCTCTCGTCTAGAAGCTTAAGCTAAGAGAGAGAGAGAGAGAAACGAATTTATTTTTAAAAAAAATTATATCACGTGCTTTCATCAAGGATTAAGATGTGCGCAATTTTCATAAATGGGTGGTCGAAAAACTTGAACGCAAAAACTCCATCTTCTCTAATACCATGTTGAATCACCAAATTTTAGAGTAGATAAATTTATTTATTTATGTAAATTATGTCTTCAAAAGAGGAGAAAGACCATCTCAGGTTCTTGTGACTGCATGTTCAAGAAAGTAAATATACAAAACTGAAAACTCCATCTAAAGCATCTTCAGATTTGGAACGGACAGTCTACAATATCTTAATATTTCAAACCAGATCAAATACAACACCTAAGCCTTCTTCTCCTTTGCCTCTCATTCTTCTGCGGTTTAACTTATCATACAACCATTTGTTGCAACCATATGCACAGAGAGAGAAAGCAAATACAGACAGACAGGTCGGCCCCTCGTGAATAATCCACGCATTGTGATTTACAGTATTATGAACAAAAACAGAGTCATTATATATGATAATTCAGGTAAACATGCAATATAAAGTAAAAGCAGATCAAGGGAGAAGAAGGTACAGCCTTATTTCTCCCCAAGCGATTAGCAAAACCATAACGCTAAACACCAAAAGGAAGGAAAACAATGGTAACAAGAAAAATGTTATGGCATGACGGTATCAACTTACAGCTGTTAAAGCTGCTTCAGCACCTTTATTTCCCGCCTTTCCACCAGCTCGATTTATAGCCTGCAATTATCATGAACTCTTTATAGAAAAAAAATATGCGTTTGACCAAAAAGAAAAAGAAAACACGAGAAATTCTACAGATACATAAAGCCTTGAGTAAACTGATTTAAAAAGCTCCAATTAGTATTACAAAACATTGCAGTTTCCATAGTCCAAGAGAGAAATGTCCCACAGTTTTACCTGCTCCATGTCATCACATGTCAAAACACCAAATATGCAAGGAACTCCTGCAAATCATTGCAAATAGAAGCTCGTCAGTCAATCAAATTTCAGTCAAAGCAATTGCAATCAAAACTGTGTCACAATGATGGAACTTAAGAAAACTTCAGGGATTTTGAGTAGTGAGTGTGTGCCAATTGGGTGTATGGTGCTTGTCTGCAAGGGCATGTGTATATTCAGATGAAAAGAGTGTTGGACGACTGCTTGCCCTAAACCATCTATCTACAAAACTGTACATTACTCTTTCCTTAGTTTGATGGAAAAGAGTGTGAGATGTTTAAGTCCGCATTTATCCATCCCTTATCACATGGACAAGAGCATTTTGCTCCTACGTAATTTCCAATGTGATTTTAATTTCGGGGTGCGGCAAGCTTGCACTGATCCATTTTTCAGGAAGAGTTCATTTACAGACTAAATATATGAAGTAACCAAGGGAAACAAAAATGATATCTGGGAAATGATTAAATATATTCGAAAGGTTATGAAAAGAGGTGATGGATATTGCAACCTCTCAACTTATTCCAATAAGAAAAGATATACATGAATATGGGATCACTGTGTTAGAGGCCAGAAATCAACCAATTGTTTTAAAAAATAAATAAATAAATAAAAATAAAATACATAAGTCTCAACTTATTCCAATCAGAAAAGATATACATGAAAATGGGTTCACTGTGTTTGAGGCCAGAAATCAACCAATAGTTCAAAAAATAAAATACAGAACTATAATTTATGAATAAACATCCTTTTATCCATGTTGTAATTTAATAAAGCTATTCCAGCCAAAAAAAATTAGCCCCTTGGCAAAAGGGATGACAAGAAACTATCCATCAAGGTCAGGCAAGCAATGACTAACCATCTAATGATACAACATCACCAATCTACTTGAAAAAACTTCAAAGATGTTAAGATAACAGGTCTCCAAAACAATAGTCTTAACGAAATATTCGAGAGAACTTGGAATACAATTTTTCCATTAGCAGTAAATGATACAAATTCAACAGGTACACTAATAAAGTTAATTGAAAGTAACATTATAAAAATGCCAGCATTGCCAAATGACACAAACTTGTAGGCTTTAGCTGTAATTATGTGCATGGATTTATGCAGCAGTAAATGGGGGTGGGCGGACTCAATATAATTCTAATGTCAAAATCAACCCACCTGAATTTAGACCTGCAGAGAGCACTCCAGATGCAGCTGAATTTGCCACAGCATCGTAGTGGGAAGTATCACCACGAATCTACTGGTCAAAAAGGGTAAAGAAGATAAATTTCATTTAGTAATTGAGAATAATGATAAGCATACAAGGAGAACCAAGAAGAGGCAAAAATATAATGAAACTTGATAGCCTCCACATAGATGACAAGTAGACAAGTGAAAATAAATAACGACCTTGAGCTGTGGCAGAAAATGCAAACAATAAAAATATGAAAACAAATTACGGGAGGCATGCAAAATAAAAGAAATATCACCAAAACATTGGAACTTGTGAAAGAAAAGCTTACCACAGCTCCAATGCACAAAACCGCTTGATATTTTCGTGACTTTCCAAGCTTCTCAGCAACCACGCCAATTTCAAAACTACCAGGAACCCACACAACCTAATGCAAAGAGAATAGGATAATGCTATATGTATATATTCAAGCATAAAAGTTTTTTGACAGGCAGACCAACATTAAAAATTTAAATGTATACAATTGTGGCAAAAAGAAAAGCATCCAGAAAAACTAGGGAAACGAAAAGGTCACTGCAAAAACTATTCATCTCACCCTTGTGATAAAAACAATGAATATCTAGAAACTCAACCCCACCGTGGAGTCCAATGAATGTATAGTTTGTTTTATTAATGTGTCAACATTATTTACTTAGAGTTTGGAGGAACAAGAGATGCAGATGGGCCTTCCTAGTGTAAGTGAAAAGTTATTAATTGATTAAAGAATTAATACTGCAAGACCGAGCTACCTAGAGCTTGTAATTGGCAAGATAAGGGCCAATGTGCAACTTAAAATAACTCCACGTAGAGATAACATACATATTGTGCCAAGGATAACATTTCCATAATACATAAAGACATATAAACTAGTTATCGCAACATTTTAATCATTCATATAGTACTAACTTAAATTGTGCTCATAAACTCTAGCAATTACAAGTAACAAAAAGAGGCAAACAAATGAAGCATAATCGATAGTAGTTGGTTGCTCACATCAATATCTTCTTCTTTAACTGAGTATTTCTTGAAAGTGTCCAAAGCTCCCTCTAATAGCGGCTTCGTGATAATTTCATTGAAACGTGCCACCACCTTTATACAAAAACAACAAATCCACGTCCAGGAAAGCCCAAAATATACAAAAAGAATCAAGCATTTGGAACACAAGCAAAAGGAACCCCAATCCTCCCCAGTAAAAAAACATAGAAGTCAACCCAACAATTAAAAAACAAAAATAAACACCAATTAGCAATGTAATAAACATAAACACAAATATGCCAAACGGAAGTACGGACAATAGCAAAGCGGAGCCCCTCAGCAGCCATAAGTGAGCCAGTTAACTGTCTAACAGCCGACATCTGTGCATTACGATCTTTGCCTGTCGTCCTCTCAATTGAGAACCCAAATCCTGAAATAGCCACAATATCAATATCAACAACATAAAAATATAACACAATCAAAACCAAATTAAGTAGTCATTTAACACAGATAAAGCCCAATTTTTGAAGCTGTGCTCATCCCGATTTAGAATTCACACATACAGAGCAAGGCACATCAATTGAAGGGCCAAGAAAAAAACTGGATTGTTAAATTTTGAACTAGAACACGTAATGATTAGAAGTAGATCGAACTGGAAGCGCATACCTTGCTGGGAGGAGGATGAGGAGAGTGAAGTTGCATCTAATTTTGTTGTTGGGAATCTTTTGGGTTTAAATAGGAAAGAAATGGGTTGATGACGATTTGTGGGAATTGGGGAAGAAGAACGAGAAAGAAGATAGCAGTCGCCGAATGAAACGCCAGCAGCCATTTTCGCAATCTTCTCTGCTCTAAACTTAAGCAGCCGTTACTATTAATAGGGTAGACAATGGAATTCATGTTTTTGACTTTTTTTCTTTGAAGCAAGCCAAAGGATTAATAGCATAAAATCGTTTTAATACGATATATTTCATATTTATTGAAAATAGCATAAAATTCCTAAGTTTAAAATATTTCGTGTGAAAACCCCTATCTGGTCCAATTTCGTCAGTTTAACCATTAAAAATTGACAAAATTAAAAATGAATAATTGTAATTGAAGTCCCACACTTCTTATTTTTTTACAAATTATACTAAAAAAATTTATATGTGTTACCCATAATTCCCAACATTTAAAATTTTATTTTCCATCCACCCCAACCGAAGTTCACTCTACCCTGAGCTTGTTTAAAGGCAAGCCCACGCCACCCGTGGGTAGAGCTTTCATGATGTTCGACTCATTACGAGACATAAAATACACCAAAAAATTGTCGTGATTCTAATTTGATGCTTAAGTTCTTACATGTGATGTATAAATTATGAATTGAAGAGTAAATGATAGCAAACGAATGAATTCTCCATATCTCTATGCAAGAAAAACGAGAGAGTACTTATATTTGGTTGGACTTTTCACATCTTTCCTAATAAGATTATTCTTTTTACCCACTGGATTATGTGAGGCCTTCACGGCTTCACGTAAGCATCAGCGTGGCAACAAAGGGCACGTAGGCTTTCAAGAGTGAGACATGTGTAAAGGGCAAATTCTTCGCGACACTTAGCAGGAGCCTATCCAAATCCGATCCGATATGAACTGAATTTGTCCATCTGATTGGATAAGAATAATTATCTGATCCGATCCGATCCGATAATCAATCGAATATTTGATTATTAAATCCATATTCAATTTGTTATGTTATCGGATATCTGATCCAAAATTAAATAAATTAAGAAAATAAAATCAATGTTGAAATTAAACTTTTCTTTTTCCAAATTTTCAATTTTTAAATGAGTTTAGTAATTATAATTTTTTTAACTTTTAGCCAATTAGATTGAAAGGTACAAAAGGTTGTTTGCACATTTATTGACTCACTTATTTATAGAGGATATTTCCAAACATTTTGTTATAAACTTTCGATGTGGGATAAGAATTCATTTAATTTGGTTGCAGTACAATGTATCATTGATTTGGCTATACTGTATTATACATTTGATTTGATTGTAGTTTATTGTATTGTTATAAAAATAGTTATTTATAATTTATTAAATTAATCATTTTTCCTATCTTTCACTAATTAATAAAAAATTAAAACTCTCCAAATATTTCAATTAGCACTATTATATTATATCTTATTTGTCGAATATTTTTTTTTTAGCTTTTAAAACTGTATTTGATACTATAATTTGTATGTATTATCAAATAATTTTTAGATTGATTAAAAATCTAAAATAATATTAAAATAAGAAAATATCTTTTTAATTTTTTGTACGCAGGGGCTTCGTCTAACTTGCGAAGCCCGAAACATCCACACCTTGCAACAAATTACACAGTTTAGAAAATTGTGTACACGTGGTTTGGTTTTATGTTTTGAATTTGATGACTTTTTTTATTCTAAATTTATTTATTTTAGTGACAAATAACATGCTATAAAAATATTTTACCGATTCAACTATTTACAACAAATCGGATCGAATTGACATCGATATCTCTATTTGATCTATTTAGTTAACAGATTATCGGATTCAAATATTGATTGAGTTATCGGACTGAGACCCTAAACTCATCTTCCATTAATTTCATCGAATTCAGATCAAAATTCAATCCATTGACAGTTCCATTAGTACCCATTATCCATCTTAGCATAATTCATCTGTCGATTTGCGAGACAACAAGCACCAAGGAACGAAGGCAGTGCGCGGCTATTCATCAGCATCTCACTCTCGTCTATTTGAGCCCCTTGAGCAGTGCCGCTTTCCTTCGTTCAACACCATCAGCGGCAGGCGGGGCAGCTAAATCGGTAGCATAGCTGGCAGCAATGATTCCTTTTTGGCAAAAGAAGGCGTGAACCGCTTACCACTGAACCGTGAACTCACTGAACTGGTAAAGAAGAAGAAGCCGATTCGACAGTTGATATAAGAAGGTGAAGCCCGAAAGCCCTCTCATTTCTCTCTCTTTTTTTTATTTGTTATTTTGTTTTGATTCTTGCGTTTAATTAATATTTTATTTTTATAGGGTCTCGTGTATGATTTAAAATCATGTATCAATTTTGTGATTCTTATGAAATTCATTTGCAGGCGGAACTCACAATAGAATTAGTAAGTATTATCAATCATTCTTCTCGCGGCAATGGATATATCTTCCGATCTTACGAATCTAGGAAGGACTCCAACTGCTGTAATTTCTGCAGGTGTAAAATCAATAGTAGATATCCCAAGAACCCTCGAATATATGATAATTTCTTATGACTCCAAATATTATAAAGAAATCCTATATCTTTATGCAAAATAAATGAAAAAAATATATATAGTTTGTTAAACTACTAGAAATGCAAGGCCGCAAGGGGTTTGCATTACAGCATGTGAGACAGATGAGTTCCTTGCATTTTTCACAGAAACAAATGGCTGCAAGGTCGATTAAATTATGCCCGAACTAAACGAAATTTCTAGCTCTGCCCCTGGTAATCGGATATGATCTTTGACATGTTTTAGGTAGGAAATATTGGTTGAGAAAGCTACCTTGTCAATCTCTTAAAATTGGCACGTGAATTCCTCGAGATCAATGAAGATATTACGAAATCAATTTTTACTAGAGAACTTAATTGGACAAGAAAATAAACTTAATAAAAGAAACTTACCGTAGCGCAAGGAGTCGCACCAGCCAATGAAAAATACAACACATGGAGTTAGGGTCCCTCCAAATTTAAATAATAAAAAAAAAATACTTGTTCCTCAAAGAGTGAAGAGTCGTCTCTTATCTATAATATTAGGTGCAAGCAACGTGCAATGCACGTTTACTTAATTTATATTTAAT